GGCCCTGCGCAGCCCCGGCCCGGCCGACCCCGGCGGGTGCTGAGGGGAGAGAAGCCGAGACGCCTTTCTTTCGTTACGGCGTTACGTTTCTGTGCCCCGTGTCCACATGACACTCTTTACAGCGTGAAATATTAGTTCACTGAAATCGTAACTGGCACTCGGCTCTGCTACTGTTCTAGCCAGATGGAATTTATGAATTGTGAGATTGATTTCCATTTCCAAGAGTGCTTAAATGCGTGATGTACCTCTTTCCAATAGCGCACCGCCCCTGACAATTCCGAGATCAATAGGAACTTCGACGGTTTGATACTTCCACGGAAGAGCATCAGGTAACAAACAGCAGCAGCTCGAGCAGCTTCTACCGCACGCGACGACAGAATTAACCCAAACGCAGATCTCGCATGAACGGCTCCGCTGCCGTGACTCCTGCACGAACACGGGTTGGTGTCCTTTAGCTCGCGGGTCTGAAACACAAGTGTTCGACTCCAGCAAATGTCAGCGCTGTCTGTCAGGGCCCGCACCGAGACCACGCCGGAGTGTATTTAATGTCAGCACTGCAGCGTGGCAAGGGTGAACCCAACAGGGGGAAACTTCAATATTTTGCAATCAGAATTAATCAGCTGTACAACGGAAAACACGTGTTATTCCCAACCATGTTTATCTGTTAAAATGTTTACGGAAGGCAAACGAAATGACGGAGGCTCGTCTGTTCTCAGAGGCTTTTGTGGCGAGGTCGGTACCACCCGCGGGGTGGGGGTACCACCCGCGCCCGCCGGGAAAGGCAGCCTTGCGCGGGGGCTCTGGCCTCAGCGCCCAGAGCTGATAAATCTCTCCCAACCCTGGCACAGCCATAGGTTCCTGTGCGGCTACACCTGGAGGAAAGCCGACAGCAGACTCAGGTGGAAGGGCAGGATGCTAATTCGCCGGAAATTCACCGAGGAGAGCTCATCTCCTCCTTCAGCACGATCTCTTAAACACAATTGCTTGGCGTATCTTAACGTTGTCCTAATTTTTAACATGACTACACTGCCAAAAAAGCGGAGGAAAGGGCTAGTCACGGCACAACCCCCAGCCCTTCCAAAGCCCGAGCAGAGCCCCGTGCCCCTCTGCTGCTCACGTTTCTCCTCTCTCGCAGGTTCGGTGAAACGACCCGTGTAACCCCCCTCGCGCCTGCCCCCCGACTTCTCAGTGCTTCTGCGCTTCCACCCGGCGGGTGAGGAGTGGCACAGGATTAGAGCCTCCGGAATCGCTGAAACGGGCTCATAGCGCCACCGGTAAGTCTTAAGCTCTTTTCTGCAAGTTACAGACTTGGGAAAACACACAAAAACTTTGCAGTCCACCTCATACCTCACGTGATACAGGTGAAAAAAAAAATTTCGCTTTTTAATCTAAATAATAAACTCTTCCTTTCGGAGTCTAAAAATACACTTTTTGCCTGGAAAACACTGGAAGGATGTGAATTTGCACAAGAACAATTGTTTTTGCTGAATCTGTGAAGACTGGGAATAGTTTCTCTTCTTCCTCTCCCTTCCCCCAACCCAGGCTGTACCGAACCCCTCTCTTTTGCCAGCGCCACTCTTTAAAACAGCACGCACTGAATTAAATCGCTAATTAGATGGAGGATGAAAAGAATATTCATGAATTGGACAAACCAGAAAACAAACACTATGAAATGCAAATTTATGTTAATTTTTCAATATACCTTGATGATTGCTTTGTCATTACAGGGCCATAAGGCAGAAGTCAACGATTAAGAGTTATTAGTGGAATAAACAGCTATGGAGAACGGCCTCTCTGAAGAACGGAACACTTACGGGCATCGTTTGACATCATCACAGATTTTCACCATTTCAGAAACCGTGACTAAACAGGATCAGACCTTGAGATGTCTTCTCACAGAAGGATCCCTCAGAAGGGATGACAAAGAATTACAAATATACTACTATAAAGGCCAGGAATGATGAAAATAAAATGCTCACAGGCAAACTTACATAAAACACTGCGTGAAACGGGGTAACCTCTGCTCACCAACTGCTCTTGTGTTTAATCTAAAACCTTTGGGAAGGGGCTCTGGTGTTTGAAATTCGCATCTGCTGCCCCAAAAATGATGCCGGGACCCTGGAGCAGGGCCTGAAGGTCCAACAA